GTTTCCAGATAATTTCTGTTGTTTGTAGAGGTCCCTTAGTGGTCATCATCAGTGGCAACGCTGTCGCTGAACATTCGTAGTTCTGATCTGGGTTCGATTCCAGGCGACGGGTTGGCTGTATGGTCGTTTTCGGGTTTTCTCCAAGTGTAACATGTATACGAGCCAATTTTCCTTAGAAATTTCTCCATGAAGGCATCCCTCCCCTTAGGCAGATAGCCCTAGTGTGCTTTACCATAATTTTTTAAACCAAAAAAAAAAAAAAAAAAACTTACTAAAATGTCTTTCGAGATAATTTTTATTTATGTTAAGTAAGTGCTAATTGTGTAGGAAATGAAGTCTCTGCGACAGGCTTCAGGTAGAGGGAGATTGGTATCACAGTTTAAAACAGTAAGATAAAATTACAAGAGGTGACAAAAAAGTTTGGTTTCAGCAATCACGTAAATACACTCTACCTGAAGAAATTACCTCTAACGTAAGTCACTCGTTCTGAAGACGTTAAAAGTATCTTTCTAGTAAAAGTTTCCACATTACGGTCGATTTGTGAACCTCTCAGTAAGATGAGAACCTCGGTCGAAAACAAATAATGAGATCGACTCCAATTCTTTATTCATTATATTCTTGCACGGCGTAGCACAGAAACTAGTAGATTCATGCAGCAGAAGATGTATGATTAGTATGAAGTGTTACTAAAGATGGATGGTATTTCTTGTTACGTTGGAATGCCTCCACTTATGTGATCTAGTTTTCGAGATATGTGAGTAATGAATAATTTCTGAAAAACATAATATGTAATCTTCTGCAACAGAAAGTCCGATAGATTATTTTTTACTTTAAGTACCGAATGAAATCTATATTCTTTTGGGAACGTTTCAGTGGATCGAAGATGAAATAGTCACATGAGCAGAGATGTGGATTGTTTGCTAGAGATCTTTCAACCAGGGATTCCAAATTTTCGAGATTCTGGAAACATGATGAAGTGCATTATTGTGCAACAGGAGTGCACTTGGTTTTATACATACAATAAGATTATACACTACAGTGGTTAATAGGACATCGATCATAACTGCATATTTCATCGGTTCAAGTATACCGATTTCTGTCCCAAAATAGGTACAAAAAAGTTCTTTTATTTTGGATACATTTTATAACTATCATGACATTAAAATTTTTATCACATGCTCTACACAAAATATTGAGTCGAATTAAGAGCTTAGTGAATTTATGGTTCAGTTATAGCCTTTATATTGGCTCAACAAGAATAAAGAACACGTTACCACAGGGTTATCAAACACAAATCATTTCATCATCCCATATAACACCTGATATTTTAAATAATATTGATTCCATGCTGCTTAGAAATTTACTCAAGAAGCATCCTTAAAGAGGTATATTGAGTTTATTTTGGGGTTGCAATGTGACGCTCAAATTTTAAAATATAATTGCTCTGTTTTGAGATGTGACCTAGGAAATGTTTCTCGAGAACAACGGAAACACAATCGGTAAATGATGACTTTAGAACACGAAAGCATCATGACGCTACTGTTTTATGTGGCAGATCAATTAACCTCGATAGGGAAGTTTCTTAATTACATCGCTATTTTTAGTGCGCCTTAAATATTTGATTAAGTCATGAATTTCTCGCATGGGATATAACCGAATTATGCTGTTTTTATCGTACATTCTCGGCCTTTGCTTAGATGAGAATCATTATCAAAAGCAGTTAACTTTTGCAAATTAATTTGATCATGCTGAATATATTAACGTTACACAGCAGTTAATGTATTTGGGATTTAATTACGCTTACAGTTTCTTTCTCTTAAAGGAAATCTTATTACAAAATAAAAGTTGGCTGCATGGTATAAACGACGCTATTTAATAGGCAAATAAATTTTCTCGATTAGGTGGTTCATTGAAAGAATCTGATAAGCTTATAACAAGTCTTAAAATTTCGAAGAAGGGATAGCGGTATAGATAGTTAGTAGATAATTTTGTTAAAAATTATGCCAGTAAATACGTATAAAAAAAGGTAAATTTTTCTCAGAATGAAGTAATTGTTCTTAAAATTATTAAATGTTAACTTTATTTTTGTTTCAGTAAAAACTAGCAATGTTATTTCGATGGATAAAGTGAATGGTCTCTTTCTTTAAGATAAAAATATCTTTTTATGTGTTAGCTGTTATTATGCTGCTACTTGGTTTTCAAGAAATAATGCGAGCAGTTAATTATTACTATCCTTTAAAGTGAACTAATTAATCTCTTTAGATGGGTTTGGATAGGAGCGAGTGATAGTTTCAAGCATGAACTTATACATATATGCTATAGAAGCATTCTACAACAGAAGAGCATTTTAGTCCTTTAAGGGCAAACATAATTTTATAATAATTCTACATCTCTCATGCGAAAATAAATTTGATGAAAAGTTTTGAAGTGTGTCTTTTCTTTTCGGGCTACAAGGAATAATCAGTAAAAACCACGACACTTTCAATAATACTAAAATTACGATCATGTATAATAATGAGAATTTAATTTAGAATTCGTTAACATTATTTACACACGCATAAAAACTAACATAAGTTTAAAAGGAAACTTCTGTTTTAAAGTGATTTATGAAATATAGCGTATGTTTTGTTTCCGAAGGCAAGACTTAAATCTTCTTACGAATCTTCTGACGATCTTTTGGCAGATTTGTTTTGCTCGTGGTAAAGAGGAATCTGTGCCTTGTTGTCCTGAAGATCGATAAAATTCTTGACTAAATCTACGCCAAGCACAAGTTTGTTGCTTAGCTAGTTTTATGCTTATTTTGGCTTATTTTATGCTAGTTTTATGCTTATTTTTGCTAGTTTTTATTATATGCATTGTGCCAAAGTTGTGCTTCGTTTAGAGCAGTGTCTCAAACACCAAAATGCCGAATTTTTTATCTGAGGGCAACTGGTTCCAGTCTTTTTTACTTTAATTTTTTTTAAAATAATTTGAAAATTTTTGGTCAACAAAATAAAAAATACTTTAACTAAATTTTAAATTTCACTTATTAAATATAATTGACTTTAAATTAAATTAAAAAATAAGTAACTTACAAAAAACCTTTTTAAATTTTCAGAGAAAACGTCCCAAGTGGGACAAACCTTGATAATAAATTAAAGGAAACTTTTCCCTTGCTCTTATTCACAAAACATTTCTTCGGCACATAAATAAAAATGCATATGTTTATATGTAAATAATTATAAAATTCTTAATTTCTTACTATATATACCTTGGCAGTCGATGGCTTTTCGTTTCTGATAAAGTTTGTACGCTTGGAAAAAAAAAATTCTAGAAATATCTTCATTGCGGTTTGTATATGCTCATTTGCCATTAGGGTTCCTTTATTATTAATTTTGAATTATGAAAGAGTGCTGTTCAGTTATAAATGTATTCCCAAACAAACTATTATAATTAACGCAAAAATCTGTAACTGAGCATATTTATCTTTTAAAATGTATGAATGAAATTTAATCAAATCTGCACATGAAGTTAAATCTTCGAGTGTTATTTATAAATACCTTATAAATTAATCAAATCTGCATATCAAGTTAAATATTTGAGTGTTATTTATAAGTACCCTATAAATTAATCAAATCTGTATATCAAGTTAAATATTTGAGTGTTATTTATAAGTACCCTATAAATTAATCAAATGTGTATATCAAGTTAAATCTTTGAATGTTATTTATAAGTACCCTATAAATTAATCAAATGTGTATATCAAGTTAAATCTTTGAGTGTTATTTGTAAGTACTCTATAAATTAATTATCTCCATGTATAGATTTTTGGAACTATTTACAGATTTAGCCGCTCAGACTGGAAGGTGGTCAGGGACTCTGACTGTCGTACCGAAGGGTTCGGTTTCGAATCCCGGAGAGGGCATAGATGTAATTTGTTTATCCTTTCACAGGAGGCAGCGGTGGCTCACTTATTAGGTGCCTCCATAATTAAACTACAGCTTCGGACCTTAATAGTGACCAATGCCTATAAACGGCTTGAGCCCGCCATTAGCAAAAATAGATTTTTGGTGCGTTATTCACACTCTATTTTAGTGGTAATGAAAATAATATAAAATCTGATTTCAAATGATTAAATTCTCGAAATCTTTAGAACGCCGTATTTGCGACAAATACATAACTGAAACGTATTCGAAATCCAAGCCGCATAAAATTTATTCGCTGGCCGCATGCGGCCTAAGAAAGTCAAACCGATTGTTTATAAGATCGAGGCAATTAACTTTTGCATTCATTTTCAAGAGGCAGTCTCCCCCCAATGGAATTCCCCTTTGCATTTTTGAAGTGCTATCATAATAAACAGCCACCAAAACATTTACTTGTTATTTTTTCATTGTAAAAAAGAATGATTTTTATGAAAGCTTCCAAAGTAAACCGATCTCGTCCGAACTAAATATATCGCGCATTCTATGTCTAACCTGCATTTCTAATTTTTTTTTATCCAAGGGACCGTTTTAGTACAACCCGAGCACCATGCCCCAAACTGTATTCTGCAGAAAGATATGCGTATCAACTCTGGCTATCAGCCACCATTAAATTAAATGTTTTGTTCTCATCTTTTATAATAGTGTTCTTGTTTTCAAATTATGTATTACCAATAAAATCTTCGTAAGCGTGTTATTTTGTTTCCTTCATTGTTTATTGAAATTGCTATTAAAATGTATATTTCTCATATTAATAAAATATTATTGCAGATGAAACGAGCTCATGGCGAATTTTGTTCGGTATAAGAATTTTTGAACTTGTACTGTTCGGTTATCAAATTTCATCCGAACATTTTAAGTGAATGTATACAATAATTCAAGATAGACGAGTTTTATGTGGTATATGGATATTAATATAACATAATACAACCCTTTCTCTATATTTACATTTGCACATTACAACAACGCACTTATTTCTTTACTAATGTCGTACTCGTTAAATGGCTTGTTTTACTAATTAAAATTTATTAATTTTTTTAGGTGTTACGAACGGGTGATTTACATGGATGGCTTAATGAAAATATATATCTGTTCATAATAGAGGATTTTTTAAGGAAAGAAAATGGTTGACTGAATCTGACAGACAAATCTTTACAGCGCGTTTATCTTTTGATATGATCTTATTATTCATTATTCTAACTGTTAGAATAATATGTAAAGCACAATGAATTATTATTAAAGAAAAGCGGCTGTGCTAAAACCGAAAGCTTCTATATGCACTTTACTCTGGAATTGGTTCAAAATAAGCTGGACGTGAAAAATGTGCAGTGAATTTCCTTCGCAAGTGAATATGACAACACAACCTCACTGGTTCCCCGTATTAGCCACGCCAAACATCCTAACTATGTAAGTACCTTTACGTTATTAGCATTTAATTCATTTATAAGTGTTAGAATTATAGTTAATCGTAATAAGTTACAAGAAAAAAATATAAATTAGAAATCTGCAAGCATTACATTGTGCACATATTTACGCATGAAAAGCGGTTTAAAAAAATGTTACCGAAATGAACGGTCATAAAATATGGATTAATAAAGTTTTTGACACTCCTTTATGGCCCAGAAAGAAATCTGTTGCTATCTTTCGTCTCGTTGCTGGCTATGATTGCCTTTTGAAGCATCTGCATCGAAGGAACATTATCGCAACCACAATTTGTAAATTATGCAACCTTCAAGAAGAAATGAATTCTTCTCATCTGAGTCGTTACGCTGCCCTTAATGCTGGATCACTCTTGGAGATATATTGGAAAGCGAGACACAAAATAGTTTTATAGATTATAATGTGGACTCTTTTTTTTAATTTTGCTGTTCTCTTTCATCTTTGCTTGTAATCTGCCATTGAAATTAAAAGATATAAAAAAAATATTTATGTTTTATAACTATTTCAAGTCGTAAAATAGTTTGATAAAATTTAAAATTTTGTTTAAGTTCGAGAAACTTAGGAATCACAAGAGACGGATTTCTAATATTTAAGAAATATATCGTAAATAATTTTTCAGATCCCCCTTTAAAGCAATGTAAAAGAATTTCACAATACTTTTGTTATCATTTCTTGAAGTACGGCGGTGATGCAAGAGCATCCAAAATAAAACAGAGTATAATGTCGGAGGAAAAAACTATCATATTAAATTACGTTTTTATAAATTGATTTTTAAAAATATAGTATTGTGAGCAAGATCAAGGAAGAAAAGCAGAAAGTGGGATCCATTAGGCATTCTCGCAAAGAGTAATAACCAGGTCGAATTAATAAAGTATAATTTAAAGGGGTGTCAAAATTTATGAGGCTCATGTAAATTACGTCAGTTATAAATTGCTATGTAGAACACCTAAATCTTTCTCAGACTTCATGCAATATAAAATGCATGTCTCACATCAAATCTTTGCCAGAAAAAGCTTTATATTTATCAGCCTAATTTAGAAAAAATATCAGATTGTGATAAATATGTTTATATTTTTACTTTCTTGTCCGAAGTAAATGAAGTATCGTATTCACAAAAAAATTTCGGGTATCATATTTCAACGAAAGTATGCATTTTGACAGTTTCCGAATCTATTTGCACGATTTTTGTTTTTCAGAACAAAGGACTCTTTTTTCCAAAAACGATTATGAAATGGATTTAAAATGAATTCAGATGAGATTTTATCGCGACGTTTTTACGTACGTAAATACGTATGGCGTATATTTGTACATGTCTCGCTTAATTCAAAAACAATTAGCCGTAGAACGGTGAAATTCTGTATGTGAGACTGCTATAACTTCTAGTTGTGCACCTCTTTTTTTATTGAAATCAGCAGTAACAAACGAATATATATATGTAAGTAAGTATTTTAATTAACCGTAATAAATTGCCTAATGCTTGCGCAAAAGCTGCATAATAATAAAACAATAATTTATTTACAAATTGATTATTTAGTGTATTATCTCCTTAGATAAAGGTAGTTAGAATTCTATTGAAATGAAGTAATTCATAAGCATATTTAAAAAATGAATATTGAAAAAAAAATTTAAATGGAAACATCAAAAAGGTATGATTGTATGTATGTAAACACCCACTTACTTGCTCGGCTTAAATGTACTTACCCAAACTTTACTTTCACAGTCGTTTGTCATAGTCATATACTTTCAATGTTTTAAATAACGAAAATGTTCATGTTTTGGTAATGTCAAATTAAAAAAAAAATTTAATTTTTGGCGAAATACGATATCTAACTGCATACATAATAGTTTATATGTGTTTGTATAATAATAATCAATAAATATCTAACAGTATTTAATAACAATTTATTGTTGTAAATATCTGACAATATTTAATATCATTTTATTGTTGCAGCAAAAATGTGCAATATAATAGGCCATGCAATGAAGTCCAGTGTTGTCTACATCAGACTTTTTTTTATAATATAGACTTGAGGGCTATAAGTCCTAGAGATGGATCATCTATTTTGCTCATACAAAATACAAATTATGCATAGTATATATGAGATTCCATTACAGCGTTAAGGCATTTCAGCCTATTGTTACTAAGCAGCTCCATCCAACTCACTGAATTTATATTCATGTAATTTCTATATAACTTTGATAACCTTATTCTGCGCTTATAAATCGTTTATCGCTCTTTATATGGATTCCATTAAAAGCAATAAAAATAAAGAATTTTGTTAATTTTTGTTTACATCAAATTCAAACAATGAGGATCTTTTACTACATTTTATGACTTAAAGGATTATCAGATGCGATTAAAGGAACTTCAACAAGGTCACGAATAAATTTCTCTTTTATTTTCTCACATTTACCTACTTTTATACATTAATTTAATAGCTTATGGACAGGAAAAATATAAAAACATAAAAAATCATAAAATTTTATATTACATTTACCCTAAACCTTTGATAAATCAAAATTTATGGCTCTCGTCGTACCAGAATAGTACGAAAACAAAAATAGTTCTATATCTACCGTTCAATTAGGCTGATTGACAACGTTCAAATTGCGTTTTTCATGTCTGGAAAGCACGATTTAGGATATATATTAGATTTATATATAGCATTGCTTTAACATAGGTATTTTGACACAAAATCGGACTTTTTGTGAAATAACATACCATTTGTTTTTCATATTTCGATTGTACGACTCAAATCATGCCTAGATATTAAATCTTGTAAAATTTGGTGCGAAGTTTACGGAGAAATTCAAAAATTTATCTTGGCACAATTTTTTTCAATTTGCGCCAAGAACAATTCACTTAGCGAACTTCTTAATATATGGCAACCAACTTTCCGTTACCTTCCATTATGCCGGAGCGGGAAAAAAGGCACCTTGTTCCTATCTTTTTACGTTGTGCATGAGCATAAAAAAAAAAAAAAAAAAAAAAAAAAAAAAAGTCACATCGTTCCTAACTTTCAAACAATTTTAGCAAAGTGTCTAAACCACATTTGATGTTTTATTGCTTTCAACAAATATCCCAAATTTCAAAACGCTCCATTATATAAATTCACATATATTTTCGGATTTTTTGAATAAAAAAAACTGTATTTTTTGCAGATATGCTTAGAAATGCGTCAACTTTAAGATGACGGTAAAATTTTTATAGTAGATTATAACAAAAAAATATTTTGGAAAAATTTATAAAAATTATTTCAATATACAAATTTTAAAAAATAAATTAAAAAATGGATGAATTTTATTTGGAATGAATCTCAGTTTCGAAATTTGAAAGGAAGAATCAAGGAAGTTTAAAAAAAAAAAAAGAGAGATTAACAAAAATATACCAAACTCAATTAACATTGAGGAGCTAAAATTTTGCGAGCTAATTTTTTTTTAAAACTACTCGTGCGATTTTTAGAAAACTTGGCAGTTTGGCGTAATTGGAGTCGTAAAATCGAAATATGGAAAAAAAAATTGGTATGTTATTTCAGAAAAAGTCCGATTTTGTGTCAAAACACCTATATTAGACCAATTCTATATATAAATTTAATACATATCTTAATCGTCCTTTCGAGAACACGAAAAACGCAAGTTGAATTTCGTCAATCGGTCCAGTAAAACGGAGATATAGAACTGTCCCATTTTTTCTTCTTTTTTTGCGCAGTGTACCTCGAACACTATCCATTGTTCTAAATGATTTCGGTCTTCTACGGAGGTAACTTGTTGTTTAATGATGTGTTAGTCACGTGGATACTAATTTACATTCTCAGAAATACTGATTATTTCAGAGGTTTTAAGGTACCCTTCCCGTAAAAATGTGCTCTGTACATATAATTTATGTAAATAGATGTTTTGAAATAATTTGAAACTTTCTTTCCTTATTCAAGAATTTTTGCGAAAGGTTTTCATACAAAATACTGCAAACATTTCATCTATACCTTGCTGGCTACAGTTTAGCTAAAATAGTAGTGTAAGCCTCTAATTTATAAATATCTCCAGTTTAAAAATGAACACATCAATGACACACGCGTCGAAATAGTATAACTTATATGTAAAAGAGCGGTTCACGCTCTTTTACTTCCTTGTACGAAGTGAAAAGGAAGTATTGTAATCGCGAAAAGTTTCAGGCAGCATATTTCAACGAAAATAACCATTTTGACCGCTTTCGAATGCAATTTAACGATGTTTTTGCGTGATATCTGTACGTAAGGACAGAATAAAAGACTTTTTTCCTCCAAAAGAATTATAAAACTGCTTTAAAATGAATTCTGAAGTGAATTTTTCGTGGCGTCTGTACGAACGTATGTACGTACGTATCTCGCATAACTCAAAAACGAGTAGCCTCAGAACATTGAAATTTTGTATAAGGATTACTGTAACATGTAGATGTGCACCTCGTATTTTGGTTGCAATCGGTCGCGCCAGACGTATATAAATATATTTATATATATATCTACTCTGTTACTCGGCTCAGTGATCTCAGTTTCTTTACTCTTATATGTTTGTAAATGGTACATTTTTTGCTTTAAAAATAATTGAATTATGTTGTCCTTTTTTATGCCCTTTTTTTTTGTTTCTAAGGTTTTTACGCCTTTAATAAATCTGTATGCAATATTTTTAGAATTATCAACAATTTTAAAGTTGTTTAAGTGCCGCTAAGCCTAATAATTATTTTGATGGCGGCCATTGCTTGTTTACATTTCAAACAGCAGAGTAGTGGATTTGTTGCCAACATAGATAAACGTAGCGTTGCCAATCTAGAGAAACGTAGCTCCGCAACTATGAAGATAATGCCTTCATTTATTCGAATTTTACTTATACGCATAGATTTGAAGCATAAAATTATTAATTAAAATGTTTTATTACACAAAATATTTCTAACATATAATTATTATTTAGTTAAAATGTTTTATTACGCAAAA